TCCCATCTGTACTGTCCTCACTGAAGTCCAGTTCCCCTCCTGCAGGCATCAAGTCTCCTGGCCTATATGGAGCCCAGGCTAGGGATCTCACGGTGAGGCCGCTGGCTGCCAGGATCCAGGCCGTTTTCTGTGCAGGAGCTAGGAGTGGTGTAGCTAGGTCTGGGTGCTGTCTACTTCAACAGCCGTGGGTGTGCTCAGGATAACAGTGTAGCATCCCTTTCAGGTTGGGGTAAGTCCTTGGGCAGTGAACTTCTTTACCCACACAGAGTCTCTGGGCTGGAAGGGGTGTACAGGGTCCACAGTGGGGCACGGCAGTGCATCTGGAACAAACTTATGCATGGCTTCTGGGTAAATTGCAGAGCCTGTAAGGACTTGAGCAAGGGAATGGTTATGAATTCTAGCTTTCAGTTTCTCCCTGACCCCAGGAAGGATGGAGGGAGCTCTACTATATATGATCTCAAAAAGAGGGGGGGAACCTCTCCCGTTAGAGGGTATACCTGGCCCATAAGAGGGTGAAGGGCAGGGGGTTGGTCCAATTTTCACCGGTTTTCAGGACAAATTTAATTAAACTTTTTAGAGTTCTACTCATGCCTGTCCTAAGGCTTGAGCTATACTTTGAGATACCTTGCTATAAAGACTGTGCTGTCATCTGATCCTATGACTACTGGCAGCTTGAATCTAGGTATAATCTCCTGGAGTAATTTCTTTACTACAGAGGCAGTTCCTATTCTACGCTTCAACCTAATCTGGGAAGGTGTCTATAAAAACTAGCATGTACTTATACCTTAATGCTGGTGGCTTAATCTCTGTGAAACCAACCTTCTAATGCTCTCCTAGGGAATTTCTTTGGGGCCCAAATTCCCAGGGGGTCCCTCTATTCTTCCTTAGCATTTACCTGTACACAGACAGTACTTTTAGTGACTATGCTTTTACCTTACTTAAGCTTCATAGTATCTGCCTCACAGAAGTTCAGGAGTCTTGATGATGCCTAAGTGGGTAACCTGGCTTGACTGGGCAACTAACATCCGACTTAGAGCCAACAGTCTGTCATCTGGTAGGGTCCACCAACCATCTGGTCCTTTGATGACCTGCTTCTGTTCAGCCAATTCCTCCTCTTCTTTGGTGTAGAGGTTGGGATCCGGCAGGGTTACTAAGACTTGTAAAGGCCCCACTGGTTTTTGGGCATCTTCCTTTGCAGTTTGGTCTGTGGCTCTATTTTCTCTGGCTTCAATTGTCTCCCCTTCCTTTGCAGTGCACTATTGCAACTGCTTTTGGGAGTCAGATGGCCTCAAATAAGGCTAAAATAATGTCCTTTCTGGCTGGAGTTGGTAACCCTCTTTCCCAGTGAATGGTACAGTGTCCCCATCAAAGGCCTCAATTAGGGACAAAGGTTTACTGATGTTCCTCTGTTCAGGAACTGTGCCCAAATGGTATGGTCCAGGGTGACTACTGCTGTTCCTGTATATCAGATCCCATCCTGAACATAACTGTGTACAGTACCTCATCTGGTGATGACGGCCGGACATCTGTCAGTACTGCATCTGTTACCTCTATGCAGTCATGAATGGGTTCCTCTGGATCATCTGGAAGCAGGCTGGCAGGGTTGATGGCCAGTGTCTTATGGAACCGGATGCAGGTCTGGTCCAGGAGAAGAGCTTGGCACTGGGTGATTCTGGTGTTTGACATCCATCTCTCTGGAGCACCCGAAGGGGGGTCTCAGCGGCATGGGGTGTTGTCAGGGCTAGTTCCTGGCCCAGAGTCTGCTTTCACCAGCAATGCTGTGGTGGCCACTGCCCAGAGGCACATTGGCCACTCTGCTGCCACAGGGTCCAGTCTCTTAGACAGATAGGCCACAGGTCTCTTCCAGGGACCTAGAGTCTGAGTGAGAACCCCTTGGCAATGCCTCTTACCTCACTCACGTAAAGGTGGAAGGGCTTCGTGACATCTGGCGAGGCTAGGGCAGGTGCTGAGACGAGAGCCTTCTTTAGCTCCTCAAAGGCCTGTTGTTCTACTTCAGTCCAGTTCAGCTGCTGCGTTCCTCCAGTACGTGTTCCTTCTTAGGTCTACAGTCCTTCTTGATGTCCAAGGAAAACAGTCAGTTTGTCTGGTGGCTCCCTGGACTGATATCTTCCTAGAGGTCCCATCGGCTCTGTTAAGACTGAATAAACTGCCCAGTGCTCACCAGGAAATTAATAGCTTTGCCTCTCACTTGTAAGGTTACCCTTGGGGGCTTAATTGAAAGGAGCCCTGGTCCTGTCAGTCTTCTTCCTCGAGGTTAAAAACCCTTGGAGTCTAAGTCTCTCTTTCTTTCAGACCTTCTCTGTCTCTTCTGGCCTCACCTTCTGTACTTATACTTACATATTCATATCACTTCTCTTCTGCTTCTGTCTAAATCCTTCCCTCTCGGACTCCCAGAGTCTCTTTTTCGTTCTTTCCCTCTCTCCCTGTTTCTCCTCATCACATGTACAACTTTCATAAAAACTTTCACTATTTTACTTTAGCTTTTAAACCTTCTTTCTATGTCCTTCAAAAGTCTATAACCATACCTCAAATCTTCCTACAGATAAAGATCTCAGATTCTGATAAGACTGAAAAGGGGAACAGGAGAATTTTAACTGTGCCTTTAAGTCCCCTAATAGAACACGGTGAAAAGTGTCCAAGCAGTCACAGGGGGTTAAATCATGTTTTCACATTGTTTTAACATAATTCTAAATAAATTATTGAAGTCTACTTAAATCTATAAAGTAGATACATATGACTGAAACCAAAAATGATTCCCAAAGTTTAAACAAAATACAAGATGTAGGTACAAGCCCAAATTCAAGCTTACAATGTAATTAGAAATGATAACAATGACATATGAGAAAAGCAAAACAAAACAAATTAATATGGCTATCACTTTTTCTACATTAAGAGAAAAATATATGACTTGGCCTACTTCTTCACAAGAGGCACACTATAAATTCCCAACAAATTTACTTAGGTCTGTATGAAACAACCTGGATAGGGCTCAAGTATCATATAGATTCCTCATCTGACAAATGAGAATAAACCAATCCTTGAGATCTTTGATCATTACTGCTTATTCTTATCACATGTAATATAATTTAGCCTGCCATATTCTAGGCATTTAGTTACTGTAATTAACTTTTCCTAATTCAATTTATACTTTGAACTTTTAAAGCTGGCAAGTAACATTACATTTCTCAATCACAATTCATACTTAAGTAGCTATATGACTCTGCTTAGCTGATACCAATGACAAAGACTAAACATTGTAAGCAAGGCCATGGAACCACCTGCCACTCCCTGCAGATCATAGTTTCTGCCTCATGGTGGGGAATTTTAAAAGCTGCTTACAATGACTTGGGAAACCAGTTTTAATTTATCTGCTGCCTCCAGCTACTCAAACAACTCTTGGAGGTGAATGGAGGCAGGGAGCAAGCGGGTCCCAGGTGGCGAAGGCGGTGCTGCCACCAGGGCGTTTTCATCAGACTGTCCCTCGCTTGCCTCTTGCTAGCAAAGGTGCAATGGGGGAACCGGTGACCCCTCCACTGCAATCACACTCCCTGAACTTTCTGACAAACTCTTACTGATTTTAAAATTATAACTTGAGTTGACACACACACAAGGACCAAATGGCCCACAAAATATTTTCCTTTTCCTTTAAAGATTTTACAATGTACTGTAATCATTAATTACATTAAACTTAAATGGCCAATTAAAACAAACAGTTCTGAGACCCTTCCTAACATCGAATTGGGGTTCCAATTAGGTGGGCCAAAAGGGAAGACGGTGTTAATCTGGGCTGAATCTGTAACCAGCTCCCTATGGCCGTCAAGAACTTGTTTTCTCCCTTCAGTCTTTATTCTTTCTCTCTCCTCTGTGGTAAACAAGGTGTTTAATAATTGCTGGCAGTCATCGCGGGTGGACTGGTGAGTGTAAAGTTACCAGCCCTTGGGGGTTCTGCCAAAAGCGGGGATACTCCACTCTCCTCTGAGATCTCACTGGGGGGTCAAGCCCCTTCCCCTTGCTTGGGAAAGTAGTGGAGACAGCAGCGGCCACATAAGGGGGTGGGCAAGGGAATTTCAGGCCCAACATCGGGTCTTCCTCAGGAGCCTCTAACACAGGGGGTGCTAAAGGCGCCTGGCTCGGCTTCTCTCTGCTCGCCTGTGGCCGGGCGAGTAAGACGGACCTGGGAGGTCTCTTTCCCAATTTTCCTTTGTCAGGGAGACAACCACACTCCTTCAGCCATTTGGGGTTATCAAAAAGAACATCAATCCAGATATCAATGTATGGAATTTGGTCCGGATGCCCAGGGCTCCTATAGACTATCCGCCGGACTCCCGTGCAGGGCTCCATGTCTAGGGTCCCTGTTGAAGGCCAATCAATCCCAAATGTCGGCCACTCCAATTCACAGAGTCTCCGGAGAGTGAAGGCATCTACAGAAACACCATAGCCTTCACCCCGTTTTCTGAAGTCAGAAAAAATTTTTAATCATACATTCAAGGTGACTTAGGTGACTCTCCTTCGAGTTTCCTTGCCCCATTTCTCTCTTTCTTCCCAATCTATAAACAGTTAGGCAACAAATAAGTCCAAAACAAATCCAAAAGAGAAAAAACGAAAACACTTTTACCAATTCCCACACACTCAATTGCGGCCGCACTCTCTCAACACTCACAACACTCATTGAGACCAGAACAACACTCACTCAGACCAGAACCAGGGATAACCAGGCAGAACCAGGGAGTCTCCAGACTCCAAAACCAGGCCTCGGTGGTCGTCACCGCAGGCAGAACCAGGGAGTCTCCACATTCCAAAACCAGGCAGAACCAGGGAGTCTCCAGACTCCAAAACCAGGCCTCGGTGGTCGTCACCACCTCGGTTGCGAACCAGGAGTTTAGCGGCGTCCCGCCTCCCAAGTTCACGATAACAGGGTACGTACCAAACCAGGACAGGAAGCTTCAAGAAACTTAAAAGAGAAACCAGGCCTGACTTACCGGCGCCGAGCAGGCAGATCCGGGCATGGTCCGATGTTCCAGAGGACGTGAAATTTCTTAGAGGGGCTTACTGAGAAGCCCCCCTGGTGGGATCTCGCTGGGGCCTCCAAATGTTACAAAGCGAGTCCCCAAGAGATGGACCACCGGAGCCAATTTGATTAAGCATGCTAGAATTTATTACAGATTCGAATCTGGACTCAAACCATGGCTGACGCAGCAGCCGGTAAACACCCAGGTAAGAGCCCTGATGGAGGGGCAGTCCCTCCAGAGCGCTCACACAAAAACACAGACAAACACACACCTACCGCGGCCAGTCAGGCTCTTCGGAATGGGGGTCCCTCATGGTCCTGGCTGGGGATTCCAGTCATGATCCCCAAGGACCACCAAGGAGCCGAGTCCGATGCAATAAACAAAAGAGCCATCTCTATGCTAGCATAGGCTATCCCACTCATGCCGGCAGCATGGCGGAAGAGAGCGAATATCGCCCAGTCCAGGAGTTTTATTCAGGTCGGTGATGTCACTGCCTCGGCTAACCCTGATTGGCCCCTTAGGACTAAATTCTAAAGACCGGGGACGGCCTGCAGGGTTGGTTCCCAGTCACACTCTGCTTGACATTGGATGTGGCCCTATCTTGCCCATAATACAAAAGCAGAACTAAAGGTTATCTACAGTTTCTACCCCTGAAGCTACTGAGTCAGTGGGAGTCAATCTCCTGTAACTACCCTATTGTTTAAGCAAGCAATCGAAGGTAGAAGTCAGATAGCAAGGTTAAAATTCAAACAGCAGTTTTTACCCAAGTATGAGTGCTACCATATTTCACATAGGCTTTCCCAGGGGGTTCGACACCCAGCACTGTACGCAAAGTCACTGGCTGGACCCGTGAAATGTGCGAGGGACTCATGGGAAGGGCAATGAGGGTACATGTGGGATGGCTTGTCTGCACTGTCCATTGAGCCACTGTTACGATGATGATGGTGGTGGTGGTGGTGGTGGTGGTGGTGGTGGTGGTGGTGGTGGAGGAGGTGCAGGTGGTGGTGGTGGTGGTGGTGGTGGTGGTCCTCCGCCATCCACGTCAGCAGGGAGCTGACAGGTCCTGAGGAAGCTCAGCCCTCAGGGACACTTAGGCACCCCCTTCCTTGGCCAGTGGGACGTTTCCAAGGCACTAAGGGCTGATCTCCTAAAAGCCGTCAATCCATCATCCCATAACCACTGGGGCTGGGAGTGGGACCTTTTTCAAATGTTTTATTTCCCTCCAAATGTCACTTTTCCTGGCAGCTTGGGCTTATTTTGAGGACTGTCCACTAGTACACACACTTTTGCTTCTACGAAATTATTTGGGCTCAAATTGTCGGGCTTTAACTTCTGTTTCTAATTCTAACACACTGGTGTTCACATGGCCTCCCTGTCATAGCGGCCACACCTCGCTGTTGGTGCGCCTGCCTTGCACCGGGTCTTCCCTCTCTAACGGGGCTTCTGGTGCGCTGCAGACTGAGCGGGGAGCTGCTCAGGATGAGGAGCTGGTGTGCGGAGGCAGTGGGCCTTCCCTGGCATCCAGTGGCAGGAGCGCCTGGTCTTAGCGATGGCTGTTTCCTTTTGCTTCTCCCCTGGTTTCCTGCCATATTCTGAACAGACGACATTGTCTCTTACTAAAAGCGTACAGCAAAGCAGGCACAGCCGTGTTTGGATTGCTCTCTCTCTGTTCGGAGACGGCCTCATGTTTTGTTGTCTACGGAGCCTGTGTGACGGTGCCCTGTCACAGTGTCACAAACGGAGTGTTCCGTTGGCTGCTGTGAAGAAGGTTGTCTATGTCGTGTGCTCCACAGGCGGACAGAACTGGTTGGCAATCCCAAATGTGATCGCTGAACTCCTGTGTGAATTGGTATCAGTTTTCCCAAGTCGCTAAGGCCCTGTTTGTTTCATCCACAAAGTGGGGTGATTGTGGCTACTTCATAGGTTGTGAAGCCCAGCACTCTCATGCGGTACCTTGTTTCACACAGTGCCTGGAGGACTGGAGACACTTGGCCAATTGTCACTGTAATTCCTTCCGCATTCAAGCGCCTTTTCCCCTAAAAGGAACGCTGTGCGGCTTTTCCACGCCATTGAGAGTGTTGGCACAGCACACTCCCCTCCAGGCCTGGGGCCTCTGGAGGACTCCCCCCTCCCAGAGCAGCCCTCTCACAGACTGCGGGAAGCTCTGGCAGTCAGGAGGGTCTCTGCAGCAAATGGCAGGTGGCCTCTGGCTCCGAGAACGGCAAAGCCAGCTTCCATCCCTCGTGGCTGCCCCTGACACTTACGTTTTCTCTTGCTCTGCAGTGAACAGAGCATCTGCCAAGCCCGGGCCTCCGTGATGGTCTACGATGACACCAGTAAGAAATGGGTACCTATCAAACCCGGCCAGCAGGGTTTCAGCCGGATCAACATCTACCACAACACTGCCAGCAGCACCTTCAGAGTGGTCGGAGTGAAGCTGCAGGATCAGCAGGTGAGTGCCGGAGCCACCAGTGACACCCGAGCCTGTGCGCACCCACACGTACACGCATAAACACACACGTGCACACAGAAGTGAAAAGAGGCCCAGGAAGTAAGGTCAGGTTTGGAGTCAGAAGATCTGGGTTCAGATTCTGACCCCATTCTCCAATGAGGCCTTGAGCAAATTATATTTTCTGAACACCATTTTTCACATCTGTCTCATAGAGGTGGTACCCACATCCTGCATACTTCTGTGTGATAATGTAACAGAATAAAACAATAGATATGAACAGCTTTGAAAAATATATTGTACAAATATATTAGTTTTATTCTAAACATGAGTAATATGACAATAAAAAATTTTTTGTTCGACCCCCTAAGTCAAGCATGTCAAATTCAAAGGCTAACACAGGCCAAATAAACAAGGTTTAAGTTTTAAGTTATGTGGGCCGCAAAAAAAAAAAAAACCACAAGAGTTTCAATTTTCATAGAAACATAGGTTTATTTCGATAGAGACATGCTGAATACAAAGGGCTGAAATAAGTGAGTAATCATTAACATAAAATAATAGAACATTTGAATAAAAATTAATATTTTTCTTGAACATTAACTTACCAGGCACTGAATAACTGCACAAGTTAATAAGCGTAACACAAATAAGCCTATTTTCCTTGTTCTCTGAAAGTGAAATATTTTCTGTCGCACACACCAAACAAGTCAGTCCAAGACTAATGATGTGGCAAGCAGCTGCTGAAATTTTCACTGCTGGTATTAGTGGAGAGAAATGGTGTATCTGTGCGGAAGGGAAATGAATACAGCATGATTATAGTAATTGGTCATTAGTGAACATTACAATTATTAATAATTATGTATAACAGGGTATTGTAGAAATTAAGTTACAAAATTTTTATTAAAAAGATTCTTACATACTGTTATATTGGCTGGGCCACAAAAATATTCGTTGTGGGCCAGTTGCGGCCTGCAGGCCGCAAGTTTGTCATGCTTGCCCTAAGTCTTACTTTGGAAGGAACAGCAAGTTGATTTAAAGAATTTGGGGTCATTGCTCTCCCTAATAGTACATCCCAAACATATCAGATAAGGTAGTTTGTGAGGGAACCTGGTAAGTACCTCCACAGATGCAGGGTGAGTCCACCTATGTCAGGAACAGTCGTGCACACATAAGTAAGTCGGAGCAGTCTAATGGGTCAAGGACCAGAATAGACGTGGAGAAAGGGCTCGTGTGGCCTAACCACGGGGACTCTGGTTAGTGCTTTAGTGCTCGCCCCTCTCTCTTAGAGATTGAAAGGGACACATTTAGCAGTGAAGTCAACAGACCTGTGGTTTCAGCATTTGTGAAACACTCGACCTAAATAGCCTCTCCAGCATCCTCGGTTGGCCAGGCCTTGGCTAAGCTAAGCAGCAGGTTAGCCGCTATCTGCAAGAATCAGCATGTTAGCAATTAGAAAAGAGAGGACCGCTCTGGCTGGTGTGCCCTAGTGGTTAGAGTGTCAGCCTACACACGGAAGGGTCACAAGTTTGATTCCTGGTCAAAGGCACAGACCTGGGTTGCAGGTTCAATCCCTGGCCCAGGTGCATGTGGGAAGCAACCAATCGATGTCTCTCTCCCTCTCTTTCTCTCTCTCTCTCTCTCACTCTCTTTCCCTCTCTCTCACTCTCCCCCTCTTGTCCCCACTCCTTCTCTTCCACTATCTCTAAAAATCAATGGGGAAAATATTCTTGGGTGAGGATTTTAAAAAAAGAAAAGAGAGAACAGAAACTTAAGACTATTTTTAGTGACTGCCAGTTGACTGTGTTTCTGCTTTGGCCAAAATAGCCTTAAGTTTCAGATTCTGTGGCTGAAAGGGACGTCCCCACTTCAGGACTCCTGACTAAAGGTAGTCTCTCTAGCCTGGAACTCTTGGTACCTTCAGAGGCATCCCTTTCCCTGTTGACAAGCTGACTGGTAAGAAGGTTTCTCTGAAAACCACCTAGAAGCAGCTTCCTTGTTCTTCCAGCTCATCGGCTCTAGCTCTGCCTTATAGAGGTACACCGCACCATGCATTGAAGGATATATATTATAGATCCTTAGTTCCCATTATGGTGGCAGCCAAAACATCTTACCCATTTTCATAACATACCCATGGGCGGGGCTGACGTGGGCATGCCACTCTGGTACTTGCCTTTGGCATAAGGCGAGTTACCCAGTGCAGTTTCCGAATCAAGTGGGTGTCCCTAAGTGATTGCTTTCATATGACCAGTTCTCCACTCCCTTCATGCCTCTTGGTTGCCCTTCAGGGTGCTCTGGGGAGATGGAAGGTACGCTGGAGGGGGCACGGGACTGGAGAACAGGATTCCCGGACACTAGCGCTCACCTTGTTCCCAGGAGGCTCCGCACCTCGCTGCCTCCTGCAGAGGAAACCACAGGGCAGGGCTCATTTGGGAGGAGGACTTCCCGTGCAGGAGACTCTGGCAGCAGCCCTAGGTGACCGCTGGACGCATGCATAGTCCTCTGGGCTGGTGGTTTCTCCCTTTCAATATCCTATATGATAAAAGGCTAATATGCAAATTGTCCCCTTGACCGGGAGTTCAACCAGGGGTCAAGACCAGCTAGCCAAACACCCACGGCCCCTCCCCCGGCCAGCCCAGCTCATTTGGCCTCAATTGGGGCAGGCCAGCTGGATCCTACTCATGCACAAATTCGTGTACCAGGCCTGTAGTTTATAATATATCAC